TAACACTTCAGATCTAAATGCACATATAATTATATGCGCATGTGACTTGAATATCGTTTCTGTCTTACTTAAAAGCCGCTTGATAAATCCGAGATTAAAGAATCTAGACATTACAGTAATTCAGTGGAGCTTCCTTTCACTTATGCCTTGAGTTCGCATTGATTAGAGATAGTTGGAACTCGATCTACACCACATTCCTGGGTATGACACGGTGTATATATATATATATCTATCATCAATGGTCAAATCCTAGACTATCCATTACAAAATGTACACGAAAGTGATTGTCGAAATCTTTGTGTTGAGTTTGATGGAGTCGGCCAATTTAAACCGTGTATCCAATACAACTTTCTATACTACTTTAAGATCATAAATATTTGGTCAGTGTGAAAGTAGGGAGGTATAGATCGAGAAAGAAAAATAGTTGAGAGAATACAAGTACAAGTATACTGGTAGTGCAAAGTACTTGTATGCCTTTTCGGCAAATCCTGATATGAATCTGCTGTCATGAACAAGAATTCTATACGTTCACATTCACCAGACTAGCAGGATTGAACATTTTCATCAATGGGCCACAGAAAACGGAACGTATTGCCTGTCGGTACGTCTTGTTGCCAAAACCGTAGACGAACGGATTAATGGCTACAGTGCTGAAGACAGCTGCATGTATAAAACCATAGGCCAATGGACTTACAAAACTATTGAAGGATCGATTGAGGATGAATACCACAAAAGGTAACCAGCAGATGGCGAAGCTGATGACGATGACGAAGAGGAGCACAGCAGACTTGACCTCGCGTTTCCACAGTCGGCGATCGTTCGCAGAGGCAGCTCCGGCTACAGAGGCATCGCCTTGGGGTTGGATTACGGTAAGATCAGAGAGAGCACGAATATGGCGACGCACAACGTGATAGATGCGACAGTAGATAATGATCATAACGGGAATAGGCAAAATCAAGTTGGCAAACACGAAAGAGACGTAGCGGCGATTTGGAATAACTGAGCTTATTCTACAACCGTTGGCCACATCAGAAATGTTTCCTTTGAAGCCCAATGGCGTGGCAATAGGGATGAACATACCCACAAATAATGCGTAAATGAAGATGACCAAAATGACAGTCCCGATGCGGCGTTGGGTGAGCATAGTCGGTGCTCGTAGAGGCTTGCAAATCGAAATATAGCGCTCCACTGTCAGAGCCAGGACGTTCAATGTAAAGCAAAGCCCACACAAAATGCTAATCGACATTGAAATGATACATGCCGGGTTATTATCGATGATGAATATGTCCACTAATATTTGAATCGGATAATAGACGCAGGAGGTAACTACACCGACGACAAACGTCGCCATAGTGAACCAATTCCCAGTCGCTCGGACCTCGTGCCGGCAGAGATAAGTTATTATCACCACGGTGTTTCCAAGCGTGCCAATAATTGATATCATAGCGTTTGTTGCGATCGTAGCTTTAACGTGCGAATTTAACATTTTTTTTCAAACTAGCACTTAGTACTTTATTTATAAAGAATTAAGTTTTACTTTCAGGACTTCTATGTTATAGGCTTCTGGTTTACCTTCCCTGGCAGTTTTTTAAAAAAAATCAGTGAATGATCGACTATTAATTTTCTCTTGTGGATCAGTTTATATATATTGGCTATTTATATATGATACGGAAATTAATACCAATGTTAATAACATATATCACTGAAGCACATTCAAGTGCGTGTGCACGTAGGTGCGTGTTTGGATGTGCGGTGTTTGTGAGTGCGCGCGAGCACGAATGTTATGCGTGCGGTTTATGCGGTGGCGACTGGCGACTTCGAATCACGGTCGGCCTTAGTTGTTGAAGATGACAGCGACACAGACTCTTATTTTTCATATCCCCCCCCCCCCCCTCCACGTTAATAGTTTTCGAGTGGAATGTTTTAAACACATTTATACTCTCAGTGGGATCCCGGTGGTCTCAGTCAAATATAAATACTGTAAGCATGCGTGACAAAGAAAACGCGTATAAAGGAGTGGGTTTTTTTATAGATTGGACGCGGTCCGCGCGGTGCCGCATTAAGGGGTTCATAAACGTCCATTTTGAATCATTTCAAGAAAAAGGGAATTTGTTCAAAATGATTCAAAATTCTGCTGTACACACCGGTATCCAGACCAGGGGGAAAGGGGTAATAATTCGTCGTGTTTGCTCATAATGTGGACGACGGCCGCGAGAGGTAGCTTATCTAGCGCGAGTCGGTTCGAAACGATCTTCAGATCTTCAGTAGATCAAGATGGACGCTCACGATACCGACACAGACCTACCAAGTCTCACGCCTATAGCTGGTCCCTTATATTTTGTTTTGCATAGTAGAATAGTAACTGTTCACTGTACGTTGTGTACTTTTTGTAAACACTATATGTAATTTATATACAATAGATCAAATTTGAAATGTAATTCTTTTTTTCAAAGAAAGGACTATTGATACAAATTCTTTACATTGTAAAATTTACATCAGAAGCGCAGTTTGATTTATTTTACAGTCAACAACTTCAATGGTAATCCCTATCGCACTTCAAAATGCTCGAAGGGTTTCAATCTTACAATACTTCTTTAGGAGTATAATTTTCTGAAATACCCGTTTAGCGTGTAAATTCGGGGGGAAAAGCGAAACCCTCATTTAGGGTGTATTTTGGTTTCAGAAGAAATCCTCGTTTAGGGGGTGTCTGAAAAACCTGTGATCAAACCAAATTTTATATTCATATTTTGAAAAAGAAACGTCGATTTTATTCATATCGAGGCAGAAAGTTTTATTCTGAAAACAGGTGGAGGTAATGATCAATTATTTACAAATAAACAAAAGGAGCGATGGAAAGAATATCATATCCGGATTTTATGTCGAGTTCAGACCTTAAATATATATTTTGAATCTTGCAAAGTCGTTTGAAACGACGGCTGAACTACTAACCTCCCGATATAGTACACTCGGAGACAAACATCCGAGAAAAAAAACATCGGTCGATATCCACACATCCCGGCCTTATTATTTCACGAGTGACTTTTGTGTGCTGTTGTTGTTATTGTGACAAATAATACTTCTGCTTCTGTAATCATTTTCATTTTTTGGCGAATTAAAATACAAAGAAAAACAGAGAACACATGGAGTTGAGAATATCGGGATGTACCGTTTACAGGGAAGGATAAAATCCACGATTCTTGCATCAATTTAACAGAAATTGAAAAGTAGCGACAGCAGCAACTCCCATAAACCCCATTCACATATTAAGGTTAACTGCATCATACACCAAGGCGACAGATAATAACCTATACCTGGAAACTAAAATTTAAATAAGCACTTCAAACGCAGGACATCAAACCTAATTCGTTCACTTCGCTGGCTCACCACTTAACAATTAATGAATCCCATCGAAAAGGCTACTTCTACTATAAGATACTTGTAATGGACTTGCTCCAGCATAGCTCGGAAACCTCATTAAACCAAAGATACTTGTATGCCTTTTCGAAACAACCATGAACAAGATATCTATATGTTCACATTTACCGGACTTTCGAGATTGAAAATTCTCATCAGTGGGCTACAGAAAACGGAACATATTTCCTGTCGGTACGTCTTGTTGCCAAAACCGTAGACGAACGGATTAATGGCTACAGTGCTGAAGACAACTGCATGTATAAAACCATAGGCCAATGGACCTACAACACTATTGAAGGATCGAATGAGAATGAATACCACAAAAGGTAACCAGCAGATGGTGAAGCTGATGACGATGACGAAGGGGAGCACAGCAGACTTGACCTCGCGTTTCCAAATTCGGCGATTGTTCGCGGCTGCAGCTCCGGCTACAGAGGGATCACCCGATTCGCATTGGGGTTGGATTACGGTAAGATCAGCAACAGCACGAATATGGCGACGCACAACTGTAATCTTGAACATTCAGTGTAAGTTTCGTTTGATTATGTGAGAATTCATGTACTTTTCTCTTCTTTTTTTTTTTTTACCAGAACTCACCTTTATCTTTAATGTACACTTACAAGTTCGGAGAGCGGGTAGATCAGACAATTCTGGGAAATTTTGTTACTCTATTCCGAGAAGCACATAACATTCCTGGGATGTAAATAAACGTTCCATAAAACATTTTAACGTTTAACGTCCTGGAGAAAAACGTAGGGGATAGCACACAAAAAATCTATTTTATAATACTTTTTTTTATGAACTGTGCTATACAAATGCATACATTTTATAAATATATTAGATTTGAATTGAACATAATGTAAACACACATTCAAAAATGTCCAATACCACGATGACTTTTGAACTAAATATAAACATCAGTGCAAAATTGGCACAATGGGCTTTTATATAATTTAAAACTTCGTTGATCCGGAATCAAAGAGAAGGAGATGTCAAAATGAAAGTAAAAATCCTCTTTGTGCAATCAGTTTGAGAGAATATGTAATTACAACTATTTCGAACTTGGCAATAAACTTTGTGTATACCAAAAATGTATTACAACTGGAGTTACAGCTAAGCAATTACCTTTGATATAGATTCGAAGTATCGTTTCTGTTTACAACGGCGGTCTGGAACATCCTGGATTTAAGAATCTAAGCATTTCAGTAATTCATTGGAGCATCCTTTCACTTAATATGCCAGATGTTTTTGTATTCATTAAAGATAGTTGGAACTCAATCTGCAATGCATTCATGGGTATAATGATCTATACACAGAATATATACATCTTTATCATTACTAAATAGTGGTTAAATTCTAGGATATCCATTACAAGATGGACACGAAGGTGATTTTCGCAATCTTTGTGTTAAGTAAACCGTGCATCAAATACTACATTCTATACCACTTTAGCGTGAACAAAGAGAGGTATAGATCGAGAAAGAAAGGAGTCGATGGAATACAAGTACAACTATACTGGTAGTGCACGATACTTGTATGCCTTTACCACACAACCTGATATAAATCTGTTGTCATGAACAGGATATCTATATGTTCACATTCACCGGACTATCAAGATTGAACATTTTCATCAATGGGCCACAGAAAACGGAACTTATTGCCTGTCGGTACGTCTTGTTGCCAAAACCGTAGACGATCGGATTAATGGCTACAGTGCTGAAGACAACTGCATGTATAAAACCATAGGCCAATGGACTTACAACACTATTGAAGGATCGAATGAGGATGAATACCACAAACGGTAACCAGCAGATGGTGAAGCTGATGACGATGACGAAGAGGAGCACAGCAGACTTGACCTCGCGTTTCCACATTCGGCGATTCTTCTCGGCGGCAGCTCCGGCTACAGAGGGATCACCCGATTCGCATTGGGGTTGGATTACGGTAAGATCCGCAACAGCACGAATATGTCGACGCACAACGTGATAGATGCGGCAGTATATAATGATCATGACGGGAATAGGCAAAAGAAAGTTGGCAAACACGAAAGAGACGTATTGGCGATTTGGAATGACTGAGCTTACTCGACAACCGTTCGCCACTTCAGAAATGTCTCCTTTGAAGCCAATTGGTGTGGCCAGAGGGATGAACATAGCCACAAATACTGCGTAAATGAAGATAGCCAGAATGACAGTGCCGATGCGACGTTGGGTGAGCATAGTCGGTGCTCGTAGAGGCTTGCAAATCGAAATATAGCGCTCCACTGTCAGAGCCAGGACGTTCAATGTAAAGCAGATCCCGAACAAAATGTCCATCGACATCGCAATGAAACATGCTGGGTTATTATCGATGATGAATATGTCCACCAACATCTGTATCGGATAAGTGACGCAGGAGATAATTTCACCGACGACAAACGTCGTCATAGTAAACCAATTTCCCGTCGCTCGGACCTCGTGCCGGCAGAGATAAGTCATTATCATCACGGTGTTTCCAAGCGTGCCAATAAATGATATCATAGTGTTTATTGCGATCGTAGTTGCAAAGTGCAAATTCAACATTTTTTAAACTAGCACTCAAGTAGTTTATACAGAAACAAGTTAGTTTCACTTTCAAGACTTCTATGTTGATGGATTCTGATTTACCCTCGCTGGCAGCTTTAAACAAAATTAGTGAATGGTCGACTATTTATTCATTTGTGCATCAGTATATATGTCTAGGCTATTATATGTGTCACAAAAAATTTGCAATGCTGATTATATCACTGAAGCACATTTATGTCTGCATGTGCGCGTAGGTGGGTTAAAAGACAGTGTGTACATGTACTTGTTTGGATGTGCGATGCCTGTGAGTGTGAGTGCGCACGCACGTTGTGCGGTTTATGTGGTGTCGTTTTCGAATCACTATCGTCGTTAATTGTTGAAGATGACAGTGTCACAGACTCTCTTTTTTCATATTCGCCCTCCTCCGCCTCCCTCCCCTGTTAATAGTTTTCAAATGGACAGTTTTAAACACAATAATGATCTTAATGGGAGAGAAATTAAATAAAAGGGAAAAACCCCGATTTCTAATCATTTGAGCATCTAAGGAAGGCAAGTAAAACAAGCCACAAAAAGTCTGTGTTTCGTACCTTCAGAAATTATGATATTAATAAATTTCATGATGATCTAGGTAAAATTGATTGGAACAATGTAAGTGGTTGTACAAAGTTAAATGAGTCATACTCTGTATTTTACGACTTGTTTACGCAAGTCTGTGACAAGCATGCCCCAATTATGTCATCAACTTCGAAGAACCTAAAAAAAGGGGAAAAATACTGGGAAGAAACCATGGACGACTAATGCTATTTTAAAATCAATCAAGAAGAAGCACAAGTGGTATTCTAAACTAAAGGCACCACAATTTCAACAGAAAGACGAGGAAGAATACAAGAGGTATAGAAATGTTTTAACTACAGTTCTACGAAATGCAAAGAGACAATATTATAGTAACCTCTCTTCATTAATAAGAATGATAGTCGTAAAACGTGGAAAACAATTAACGAGTTGTTGAGTGGTGGAAATGTCAAAAATAAAGTGACCAATGTTGAGAAATTATCAAGCTCAGGTGGTGTACAGAATAGAGTGATAACATCTGACAATGAAATAGCTAACGAATTTAACAACTTTTTTGTAAACATAGGTCCAAAGTTGGCAAAGGAAATACCACCAGTGAATTCTGACTTTACAGAATATTTAGTATATAGAACAGAAAAATCACTATTTTTAAAACCAATAACAGAGAATGAATTGAAATGCCACTTACAGACTTTAGATACAAAAAAAGCATGTGGATATGATAATTTGCCGGCAAGATTGTTGAGGGATGCTGCCCTATACATTTCAAGCTCATTAACATATATTTTCAATCTTTCCATAGAAAGAGGTAAATTTCCAGACGCTCTGAAAGTAGCAAAAGTGACACCTATTTATAAAAAGGGGCGAAAAGATCTAGCTGGTAATTACAGACCTATTTCAGTTTTACCTATACTGGGTAAAATCTTTGAGAAAATAATAAATAATCGTGTAATTGACTATTTGGAAGCACATAATGTCTTGTTTCAACACCAGTATGGTTTCCGTAAGAAACATAGCACTAAGTTATCTTTGATTAATCTTGCAAATACACTATTGAAATACTTTGACGAAGGTAGAACAACAGTTGGCATCTTTATTGACTTTCAAAAGGCATTTGATACTATAAACCACAGCATTCTCCTCAAAAAAATGTCACACTATGGAATACGTGGGTTAGCCTTGCAATGGTTTGAAGATTATTTTGTTAAACGATCACAGTTTATACAATATAAAGACAAAATGTCTTTGAAATTGAATATAACATGTGGTGTCCCTCAACATTATTTTTATTATATAAATGTTGTATTGCGTTTGTAGGAACAAAGCTGTGGAATGATCTCCCAGATGAAATTAGATTAAAAACATCGAGGTTATCTTTTCGGGGACATCTTTCCACCTACCTTCTATGTAAAAGATGTGGGCTCAATCCCACCCCCCCCCCCTCTTTGTTTTTCCTTTTATTTTACTTGTCTTCCTTTTATGTATGTATACACTTGCTTGTTAACGATTATAGCTGCTTTTAAAGGATTTGTGCATGTACGCACATCTGTATGATATTATTTTCATTAATACACCCTTTTCATTTTTATGAACACATTGATGATTTTATTTGTTCAAAGATTTGTCTTCTTTCATTATAATGCTTTAACACTTAAACTTTTTTTTTCTTCATTTTAGTATGTACAAAAGTTACATGATACTGTATTATTTTGTTCTATATATGTAAATACAAAACAAACAAGTTTTACATTCATTTACATTCATATGTATAAACAAATTAACAGAAAAAAAATCTTGCTAAAGAATGGAACTAGGCTCGATTAGCACTTGTGCTAACTTCTAGTTCCCATTAACCTCTTCACCTAGATATAGTAATACACATTTAACGTAATAGTATGCAGATGTATGTCTAAATATCTAATTTAAACCATTACTGTTTAATCGACATTACTCTTATGTTATATATACATGTGCATGCATCAGTATTATTTTTTGCATTGTATGATTGTTCATATGTATTGTCATTATTGTGATGTGTTGTTGTTAATAAATTCAAAAATTAAAATTCAAATGTTTTGAAAATGAAAACGTCGACTTTTTGCATGATGAGGCAGAAAGTTTTGTTCTGAAAAAGAGTGAAGGTCAAGAAGAATTCTGTCAATAAAAAGTGCATTAGAACATTTTGGAACATTGCTTAATCAAGACATTTTCGTTTTATTTGAAGCAGCGATGGAAAGATTATCATATCCGAATTTTATTTTGATTTGGGACCTAAAAATATATTTTGAATGTTGCAAAATTAATTTGATACGTCAGTTGAGCCACTGACAGCACGATGTATTACATTATGACACATTATACTGCCGCTTCTTTAAAGGTATTACAAAGTTTTCGGAATTTTGAAAATTGGGTGGGGAGTGATTCTTTACAATTTTGATATATTTGGATGCCCCTATGGATGCATTATAAGCACTAGAAAATATAGCCCCTAAAACAGTTCTGCTTTCGAGAAAAATTGAATGTAAAAATTTACCGGTGCTCCCGGTAAATTTTGATAAATTTCAAATAGCACCTACGGCCGTACAATAGTAGCTGCGACCATGAAAATCTCAGAATATGTAGTTGTGATATATAATTTCCTAACGGTAATAGCTTATCGTTCGATTTTAGTCAAGAAACATTGTTTAATAGCTTGATTAATATCTTGACCTTGAGAGGGAGCTATACAACATAAAGATTTTATTATTTATAATTTCATAACTTTAGAGTCGATTTCAGCAACAACAACGATCAGTGAATATTGTAGGATCGCATATGCTTCCAATATGTTCATTTGAATCAAATTCATGACCCCATACCAAGACTTTGTATTACCTTTAATAATAATCATGTTTATGTTTGGCGAATCAAAATAAACAAGAAAAACAGATAAAGAATACAAATACAACACAGGAGGTAGATAACATCATGATTTACCGTCTACTGGGAAAGATAAGTCTATCATTCTTACATCACTTTTAACAGAAATTATAAAGGTAGCGTGAGCAGCAACTCTCGTAACCCTCATTCACATGTCAAGGTAAACCGCCTCGGTCACCAAGGCGACAAATAAAAACCTATATCTGGAAATTAAAAATAAAAGAAGTAAAGCACGTCAAACGCAGTACATCAATCCTAATTCGTTCACTTGACTAACTCATCATTTCACAATGCATCCAATCGAATAGGTTACTTACAATATAGAAGACTTGTAATTGACTTGCTCCAGCATAGCTCAAAAACCTCATCAGCCACAGTTACAGACGTCTACTGTCGTACTCTGTTCATAATAGGGACCTTTTTTTGCACGTCGACATAGTGGACTGCTATGTGTGACGTCCTTTTAAGGCAATGGCAGTTCCTTAAAAGGACGTCACAGTACCTTAAAAGGACATCACACGTAGCAGTCCACTATGTTGACGTGCAAATCATCAAGTCAATACTGAGGTACCATAGCCGAGGTGTTTAAACGCCTGATTGAAGATTAGAAGGGTGTGAGTTCGATTCAGTGAATAATGGGGTAGGGACAAGCGCCCCCCCCTTATGGGCGGCAATCAGGGGCTGGACAAGGGGACACGCTCCCCCCCCCCCCCAAAAAAAAAAAGAGTGGGTGGGGAACCCAATAAGGTATGCCCCCAAAAAAGTCTTGTATTTCGTATCATAGGCTATATGGGACCCACTTCTTAAAGTTGTGCCTTAGATTCTAGAAATAAAGCACAAAATATGCGCTATAAATTAGGTTTTTGATCAAGGTTAACAATGCGCGTCGACTTTTCCATTTCTTTCCAGTATTATTATGGATCATCAACCAATTATTCGCGCAGATCTCGGTGGTGTATGATATTGTTGGTGTGTGACTATGTGCGGCAAGTAGGCCTACACATATTTCACAGACCAAATTATATGACAAGATCAAGATCAGCATAAGTTCTATTCCTCATAAAACATTCATTAAATAAGTTAATCAAAGTATGTAGAAAGTCTTATATAGAGGAAATGTCAGTAGCGAGTTTTCGCTCAGCGACGGACAGACCATCTACGATGCAGGATCGCTCAGAGTTACGGCCGTCCAGAGCCATCGTTACACAGAGTTTGGCCAACCCGGTTCGAGTTGGTCACAATATGGCGACTACTGCTTTGTTGGGTAAGCACAAAATAAAAGAATATACGCCATGTTGTGACCCAGTGAAACCAAGTTGGCAAAACTCTCCTAATTAATGGCACTGCGGCCGTCGCACATAGACCGACCCCGTTACAATAAGCGGTTTCGCTTTTCGTTGAACGCGTACGTATAGAACGGAGGTATTGCAATGGAATGCCAT